TTGCCGGGGATTCGATGGTGAAATACTTGTCCCAAAATTTCCCATGGAATAACCGGGTAGCTGTCGAAGTGCGGGCGTTTAGTGCCATCAGGATCGAGGCTTTCTGATGCCCTGCTCGATTTTGGCACTAACAACACCAGCGTTTGTGCCGGCGCGTACGTTGACAAGTACCGTCGCCTGTCCGCTCAGATCTTGGAACGCAAGTCGACGATGCAGATCGCCTCTTCTTCCGTCCTTCCGAGACGGGAGAACAGCTAGGTTCTCTTCCTTAGAGTGTCTGCGTAGTCAGAGTGCCGAGATCCAGGCGTTGAATGATCGGCACACAGAGGTGAACTGGCTCCTGCCGCAGTTCTGCTGAAATATATATATCCTAACGTAGAATCGCAGAACCTATGCGGGCAGGAACTGAGAGAGAGGAGGACACTAGAGCGCGGAAGAGACGTCAGAACACCGAGCTCTGGTTGGAACGATTAGTGTGTGAACGCAAAGCTATTGCTGCCTATGTCTCCACTGCATTGTTCGAACGCGTTCAAACGGCAAACGCCGGACGCCTGAGTTCTGAGTTTTGCGCTCTAAAGAGTTTGACCAGTGAAGCGGAGGCAAGGGCAGCTTTCATCACCACTGCACTGTCTGAACACGTTCAAATGCGAATGCCAAGCGCCGGACGCCGACACTGCGCGATCAAGCGGGTTCGGCGAGTGGAGTGGAGACAAGGACAGCTATAACTTCGTGTTCCCACACTAATCATTCCAACCGGAGCTTGGTGTTCTGACGTGTACACCGCGCTCTGATTTCCTCATCTCTCCCAATTTCTGCCCGCATAGTCACGGACAAAACGAAAACGGCAGGGCGTGTTCTTGGAACTCCCGACTTCCAGCACGCGTTCTATGCCTACCGTCGTGCTTTGGCTGCGCATGCGCGCTCAAGGACCACGAAACGCCGATGCGTTGTAGAAGGTGGAGAACTCACGCTGGGAGGCGGGACAACTGACCATGCTCCCGCCTGTCGTTCTCACCTTGTTATTGACTATAAAATAATCGCAGCCCGTGCGGCACACTATTGTTGGCTGCAACCATAGCCTCCTATATACTGGTGAAGCCTGGCAGATCACCACGAGAAGCGGCCGCCGAAATGGAAAAGGTGGAGCGGCAGACAACGGATGAGAGGAGAGCCACGTGACTGGCGCCCCATTGCGACGAGACGTCGAAACACACTTCTTCCAAGCGAACAAGTGTGATTTCGGGTCCTCGCCGCTGCAAAAGCTGAGCGCTGACGTCCAGGTTCCCCGAGAAATGGCTTTCATGATCTGTGGTACATGATCTTCTGGCTCCAAATCTGCGACCGGGCACTCCATTGCTCCGTCATCGAACTGCCAGGCTTTGCGAGCATAGAGGCGGCTATGCTGGAACATAAGATCAACAGGAGAGGATCCTCCTCCAGCACGAGCTTTGATCACACACTTTGGCTCACGCAAAGTAGAACACGCTGGAAGCCCACAAGCGCGAGCTGAAGACGGAGCATCTATTGTTGATTTTCTGTTGCAACAGACTATGGCATTTCGACGTCGTCACACTTTAAGGGGTCATGAAACGATATCGGGTTGGAATTTATTCACCCAGACAACACCCGACATCCTCAAAAGGTACATACGTCCTCGCGGTTTTCAAGACCTCCTCAGGACATCCTGAGAACGTCAGTCGCTGGATCATCCTAGAAACGTCCTTCCGAGGACTTATTGAGGACGAAGGATACAAAGTTGGAGGTAATATATACGTCCTCAATTTGATTGCGTTGTTAAAAAAATAAATGAATGAAATGGCGGTAGTATACACAGTTCACGTTTACTGCGAAACTAAATTTCACATTCAAATTATTACATGTAGTTGTACAAGTTTAGAACATCTTTTAACTAAAGTTTTGATTAAACAATTATTTAAAACCAGGACGCACTATAATTAACAATTACTATTAGTTTTGTATTTGCGCAGTATTTCGGAATTCAGTTCCATTGAAAACATTCAATCTAGGTAGCGCAAGCTACCGCCTACTACAGGGCGTACCGTTATTGCAATTAACCCATCCGAGACCCAAGCAAGCTAAGCCAAGCCAAGACAGAAACAGAAATATCCTTGAGGTTGATGATGGCTTGATAATGTTGATGCTTGGGCTAGTTGTAATTCATGCTTGGATTGCTTCAACGTTACTAAAACACTCAGTTGGGAAACTCGCCGTCGAAACCTGGGCCGCTGGCGTCCACCGAGACCGAGCTAAATGCGACAACAGCGCCACTCTTTATCGTTTGTCTGTACTGTGGTCCCCTTGAGCTTTTTGAAAGCCTGTTTTTGCGTAAAAACAAACGGAAAAGACTCTTTTTGTATGGAATTTATTGGAGTTTAGTACCAAATGATGGGCGCGTGATGTTTTTATCATCTTTAGTTCGCAAGGTTTTGCGGAACAATTATTATTGTTTTCATACAACCATGCCTCAGCGGACCTTTCAGGTAGCATGTCCTGACCTAGGTGCATTTTAACGTCAGTTGCTGAATGCGGTGCGTCCGCCGGGGAGACGGGGGTGGCACCCCTGTAACCTCTACCGCTGTATCTGTTCTGAAGCCAAAATAGAAGTCACGTGCAGTTCTTCGAGAGGCCGCTGCGGGAGAAATGGTGGCGTTGTGTTCGTCATTAGCTCGGTGCTCGGAGACAGATTGGGGCCACTTTTCCAAAGCTGTCTCTATGGGAGTTTCCCAACTGAGTGTTTTAGTAACGTTGGATTGCTTGGATGGAACAGCGCGGATACAGTTACACTCACAGGCAGACAAGAAGGGAACAGACTCGCAGCGCTGACTAACAACTCAGTGATATATTTATTCTACCTCAAATCGTCATGTTCTTCTCCTTCGCCATTAATTAGAACATTTAAAATGTTTAAACACCAGAAACCAAATAGCCGAGAAACATTAATAAGTAAATAATAAAGACATAAATAAATGACAACTAAAAATAAATAAAACAATTTTTTTAATTACATTCGTTAAGTTTCATTTTATTGTAATTTATTTTCTGAAAATATTCTTTATTTTTTTTCTCGTTTTTTGTTTTATTTTTTTTTTTGTTGTCATTTATTTATTTATTCATAAATTACTTATTAATGTTTCTCGGCTATTTGGTGTTTCAAAATTTAAAATGTTCTCAATCAGCGCTGCGAGTCTGTATATCCGCGCTGTTCCATCAAAATTGATGATGGCAGCAATGCAAGGCGGTGACAAAGGTTAGTATTTTTTTATATGTAGTACTCCTTCGAAATGGCGGAAAGCAGTTAACGGCAATTTCGGCGGGAAAGATGCCGGCGCGTAAACGAATGCTTCGAGCTTATCGCACTAACATTAATTATGATTTTTTTCTAAACCATCTTAGTTTTCTGCTTTGACTGTCATCACAAATCAATGTTTCAGGGGCGTTGAAAGCAAGTGTTGAGTGTGCAAACAAAGCTGATGTGGAGACCATCATTAAATTGTGGCCGCGCCCCGCTGGAGAGAAACTGAAAAAGCTGCAGTCAAAAGCCGGATATGTTCGACATGATGGTAAGTTTCCAACATTACCTGTTTTTATTATAGAAACTTATGAAATTGATTTTTTTTTTTGTAGATCCCGCTGAATATTCGGGCTAGTGCTGGCCAACATGCGAAGCCAGACTGCATAATTGGTGTTGACATTAAAAAGTCATGTATAACATTTTCTCTCCAATAAAGTATTTCCTGAACAGTTAGTTACCCTTGTTTGCAATAATGAATGGCATAATCATGCTCACAGTTACAGGCTAAGAACATAGGGCAAGGAAAGACGCAGTGGAGAAAGCAGACGGGATGCTGGAGGGGAGAGGTTTTCTTCTCTCCTCTTCAGCATTCCGTCAGCTTTCTTCCTCCCTTCTCTTGCCCTATGTTCTTAGCCTCTCACTGACTAGTAATCTATAATTTGTGTGTGAATTTCACTTTTAAATAGTACACAACAATGAATTTCTTTCTGCAGGCAGCTCCTGCAGGCATGTTCAGGTTCAAAATCCAGTTGGAGAAAACCTAAAAACAATAAAATTGAAAGCATCCTAACAGCTCAGTGAACAGCTGCACCTGCAGTGCATTGTCCTAAAAATGTACTAGAAAAATCCTTGGCTGCCCTCCTGAGGACGTTCTGAACATGTAAAAATGTACTAGAAAAATCCTTGGCTGCCCCCCTGAGGACGTTCTGAACATGTCCTGAGGCCGGACAAAAGGACGTTTTTAGAATGTTTCCAGGATTATTTGAGGACATCCTCACGACATCATAATGTCCTCAAAAGGTTGTCCTCAGGACATCCTGGGGATGTCCAAGTGTTGTCTGGGTCATGTTTGCAGAGGCATACTGGTCTGGCCCAAGTATGCTCGCTCAGACCTCCACTGATTCAGAAGTTTTTTTGTTTTTTTTTGTCGCAGTGAAATTGCGAGGATAGAAGGGGACTATCCCTAGCCAAAAAGACTGCTTGAAAAAAGAGTCGGAAAGAATCCGAAGTTCTAAGGCGTCATATGGTACGGGAGGCCAGTCTGGACTTGGCCAACCTGGAATCTTAACCGGATTTGGACAGCCCGGAAATCAACCCGGGCATGGCCAACCTGGAATCCTAGCCGGATTTGGACAGCCCGGATATCATGTCGGACATGGCCAACCTGGAGAACTTGAACGGAGGTCGATCTGGATCAGGCCATTCCCAACTATAAAAGAAATAAGTTTACTTGAAAGCAGATTCGTGTACTCTAGATATGAAGAAAAAAACCAGGCTGACCAATATCACTGAAAAACAAGTGGCGTGAAATTAACACTTCACAGGAGGTTTTTGTGCGTCCATGGAGCGAAGATCGCAGACAAAAATGAAGGTTTCAATTTCATTTATTTACAAATACATCAAATTATTAAGGAAGTAAAGGATCACCTAAAATAAACACATAACAGTTGGTTATAGTGACCTCACAAGTACAGCGAAGATTGTGGGCTATTATCGCCGTTGTAAGGCTGCCATGCTCTCAACATTATTTTTAAAAAAAGTCTTAAAAAAACAGTTACATAAAATATTTCAAAACTAATGTTCATTATAAGCATTGGATAATAAAAACAGTACATTAAAAAAATTCTGTAGTTAAAAAAAATTACCTCTGGACGAACAGTATGAAAGAACTAAAAAAACAAATGAAAAGGCTATTTGTAACAAATCCTAAGGTAAAAACTCCATAAAGAAAAAAAATATGTTTGCACATAGTCACACGTTACATGTCTTCCTCAGCATCCAAGCAGTGAGAAGGGGCCTTCTTCTGCATGCCTTGGGCCTTCTCGGCCGATCTGTTCTTCTCCACCATGAAGTCCCCCATTAACTTTTTTACGACCTTCTTCACGGAGAGTTCCCTCGCAGGCTTCTTTTGCCCCTGCTTTCCACCTTCCTTCTTGTCTTTCTTGGGGGCCCTTTTGGGACAGCGGCTGAAGGCAACTGCAATTCAGAAAATTGCAGTTTTTACTTTTTTTGTTGGTCTGCATTCCGAAGCTAAGACTAAAAGTATTTCATGAAATACGAAGCACACCACACCCAAGTCCGAAAGTAAGAATGCAGAAGGGAACGAAGTACGGTGGGCTTCACCATCTTGCACTGGCACCTGCACGTGGAGCACCACTTGACGTGCGCACATAATACGGTGAATCATGTTAGCTAGTTTGACTTATGAGACTTACTTTTCAAGCATTTTAAAGGTAGCGGGGGTGCTTAATGTGGCATGGTGCATGCTCATTGTTTTACGGTAGTCTTAAATTGTCACTTTCCCACATATATGTATTTTATTACATAAAGAATAAATCTAGTTTGTAAAGAAATGGCACACTCACCAGTGAGGGCATCAATCTTTTCAGGGGTTAAAGGCGCCTTCCCCACTGCCCCGTGCTTCAGGTGGCCCCTGCAGGGTCGTCCTGACACGCTTCGGTTATAAAGTTCCTCGGGCTTCCAAAGTCTGCGGCTGACCATTCTTAAAAAGCGGCCAGGGGTCGTAGCTTTGGCGGCCGCATAATTCAGTGTGGCCTCAGGCACCATGATCCCATGTCCAAGATGAACCTACAACGAGGCAAGCGATTTAAAACAAAGGTAAAAAAGAGTGATGAAATAAAAGTAACACAGGTAGGCACTCTACTTTCGTCTAGAGTTAGACTTCTAACTTATTTGATGGAAATGTTGGGCGGCGTCTCGGATCGTACCCTTTTGGCGAAAATCGGGAATACGTCAAAAGATTGGAATATATTTTTTGACGGGTCTTCGAAGCTTTCCGAATTTTGGGTGGTATTTCACCGCCAGACAATAATGGAACGATTTGGTGCAAGAAAACCCAGTGAAGAACATACTGGCACTATGTGATGATTGTTTTGCAATAGGGTGACCCATAAAACTGCGTCGGCGTTTTCTTCTGGCATTGGAATTTGATTGGCTTTCCATAGAAACTCAGCAGTGTTCAATAATCGCCATTGTGTTTGTGGTGAACAAAGGAGGGCAGAGACTAAGTTCTATTAGCTGGTATACATTATTGCAAAGCATAATCACAGCGAATTTGCTCGTCTATGTCAGCTGACACTTTCATCTGCGCCTACCACAACTGCACAAAACATCGAGCACCGATTACGGGTAACTTCACATGGATGCAAATTAATTTTTTTGAGAAGTCCACAATTAAGATCAGGACAAGTGTGTGGTCATACCTTCACTAGATTCCACGCCATTCTGGTTTTTTTAATGAAAATCATTGTCTTTGTACCGGCCCACCAAGGGCTCTACGATTTCGGAAACCAGTGGTACAGCGACTCACCTGTTCCCCAACGATCCTGCTAAGACTTCAACACCAGCATCAAATAAAACCAACTGTGTGCTTGGCATCGACTGCTTTGATTTTACTGCGGGGTTGCATTGCAATACGTGAAGTATTCCAACACTCATGCTACGGGAAATCAAACAGTTGCCGGTGTCGAGGGAGTCTTGTCATCTGAATGACCTTGCCCCCAAGACTGCCATCTGATATTTTCATCTGAGTCCTACGTTACTACATACATCGCATTTTAGGACCTTGAATTGCCTTTCCCTCTGATCATGGTGGCGCAATTAGCGCAGCTTTAAACTAAAGTTTAGATGCAGCCAAAAAGTACAGATTCAAGGGAGTTTCTGCTTTTTCTGTTTTCACGTTTCTTGGGTAAATGATATGTTTCACTTGCTGTGCAGTTTTTACGATCGGCAATTTTCTTGGTATCACACAGCCAGGAAGCGCGGGAAGGACCAAAGAGTCTTCACTGGCATTACCGAGTGCTCCCTCGATAGCGCAGCACATTTTCACCTCACTAAAAGAGACTGCCTTTACGTCAAACTTCGCATCACTTGAAGAGATTTTCGGTCTCCCCCTCCACCCACAAATTCGAATGAAAGATAATCCACTGTGTTAGGTTTTATTTAAAAGTGAAGTGTCCTATTTATGCTGATAAGTACACACCTACAATGTGAAACTAGTAAATGCACAACCGAGTCCTGCATAAAATCATATCCAATACTAGTGTGAGGCAAGTCTCTAGTTGTACCCTTTCGTCAATAAAATTGATCCATGAGCATTTATGATCCCATCAATTTAACTGGGCAACAGCTTGCGTCACTGTACCACCTGTAATATTAGCACTACTAGTGTCTGAGACTGGCCACCGAGTGTAAGAAAGTGGGGCAGATCTACAATTGTGCAGCAAATTAGTTTAGTATTGATTTCTCCACCCCAAATCGAGAGCTTGACTTATTTGTAACTAGTAGCGTTAGCAACTTGGCGACGTGGTAGTATATATTACCGACTTGGCCACGCGGCAGTATATGTTACCGAATTGGCCACGCGGCAGTACGTGTATTACAATTAACGAGCTTATGGCACTCTTCCGCAAAGTGGCTGCTATCTGTTCTTATAGATTTGCTGTCCATCCTGGAACAGTGGCCTACCAATGGTTTCTACTCTTTTGCTCAAGCCATGTCAGAGACTGTCATATTTTTTAATGCCAACCAATTGATTGTCATAAAAGGTACTCACTGCCCTATAACTTAATACGTAATAATTGTCACACCAACCAGATCCATAGAAAAATTAAGATTATGCATTTCCAGCTAAAATAGTAATTTCGCAGTCACCGGACATACTGGCTGACAGAACAAAATTTTGACCGGGGCAGAAGAAACTAGGCATGAGGACCTTCGAGCCTTGTTGGGTCTTAGGATCCTCTACTGTGCAGAAAGAGCAGGCGCGACCTGGTGATGAAAATGTTAAGCCAGAGGGACAGGGATAAAATGGGCGCCCTATTTACGAATAGTAATACGAGTCACGTGAGACCTTTTAAAAAAATTTTATAGTGGTCTCTTGCAATCGACCAGGCCACATGATCACACTTTAGAAAGCTGAAATGACGATAATCTACCTGCGTCCACAGCTTTGATAACGAAATGGGTAAGTTTAGTACCCTGGCTCCGAAGGTTTGGAGATGCATTGAACGCGCCTAAACACGGGCGATCCTTTGCTCCAGTTTGTGCTCGGTTGCATGAGCTCATGTCTGGCCACTGTGCCTCAAGGCAATGGCAGAAACATGACATTGTTAATGGTTTATGTGATGATGAACATGCTTTTGTAAAGCCTGCGTGGTGCTCATCTATCCAAATAACCTCATTGGACAACAAACTTCGTAACAATATTTTCTTTAAAAATATCCGTTCTAGAAGAGAAGGTTTAACAAAATGCCCAGTAGGCCCAAATACATACTTTACCATCTCGGACAGCAAGAAGCGGAGGGCTGTCCCCAGCCTCGCCACAGCCGGCGGCCCTGGCAGCACCTGCGAGAGCGAATCAGATTAGGGACAGCTGTACGTCTTAAGGGACTACTCCGGTCCAATTTCAATGTTGAGAAAACAACGCAGTCTTTTGTCGTATCATCTGAAAAGCCTACACGTAAAATATTACGACGCGATTTCATCTAAAAGTTGATTAAACCTTCCATCGAAGTCGGAGCGGCTCCACGGTCACCAAAATCCGCCTAATCTAGCAGGCGACGCGCGGCGCGCTTAGCAGCCCAGTCAACGTTTCTGTGTGGACACAGCCATCACTCGGCGGAACGTCAACTGGAAGAATTGTTTTGTTTGTTTCTTACTTTTCGAGACACGGAGCCCGAGGGTGAGAGAAAAAATAATGTGGGGCGCCGTCCGCCGCTTTCGCTGACGACATAGCCGACGTTTCCTTACCACGTGGTGTCCAGTAGTTGACGAGCAGGACCAATGTTGCCTGCCGCAGGCAAAGTTTCGGTTTCGCTTTATGCTTTTCCTTTAAACGAGGTTTGTAAGAAAACTGTTTAACTTTTCGGAAAACTAATGATATAGAACCATTTATTAGTAGTTTTGACATGATAATCACCGGTAAACCCAGAATTGACCGAAGTTGACCTTTAAAGGAAAACGCTGCATAGTTCAGAAAAGTTTTGGGAGGATAGATGATCATACATTGAGAGGTATTATTAAACAGCACTACATCATTTGTTTCACCAAAATACAGTTTTCTTGCATTCCTCATTTAAATTACAGTTGAACCTCGATCTGACAAAGTCGCGGGGAGCTATGGATTATTTCATTAAATCGTGAATTTCGTAAAATCGAAAATAGCGTTTCCCGGTCATTCGATTCTATAGATATAAAGCTTAACGTAGCGTCTCCAAGGAACTGCCGTGGTAATATAGAGCAGCAGATTCGCTGAAAATGTGAGCCCAGCGCATATAAAATCACTCCTCGAAAGCAATTCGCACTGCTTGGGCTTAAAAAAAAATAATAGGAGCTACCAAGGTAGAAATGCTTCCAGTCCAGGCTCTGTTATGAAACCGGAAATGGACTACAGCTAGAGCTGGAAATCTATTTTACCAGCCGAATTACAGGCTGTTTCCACCCAGAAATTGACAAATTTCTTTCTGGAAATTAGATTTTTCCTCATCTAGCTGGGAAACTTCCAGGTGGATCATGTACTTCCAAGCTGGAATTCTGATTTCCAACAGGAGCAGCATCTATTTCCAGCTGTAAACAGAAGTTCCAGCTGCTGCTGTATAATTTAGTTAAAAATGTGGCTGGAAATCTTCATTTCCAGCTGGAAGCTGCAGCTTATTTTCATGTGGGTACCAACTCTTCAGGAAACGACAGATTTATTGCCTAACAAAAAAGCTCGCAGTCTTCGCCTTCGAGCTCTTTGTCAACAGCGGGCGTATGTAGATCTTTTAAAGCATTAGCGTTTTCCACCAGCCAGTCACCGGCTTTGGGTCTTCAAACTGCCAGTCGCATTAGTTAGATCTATGCTAATGCAGTTAAGGATGCATTTTGCTGTTATATGCAAACCAAAAACCAATGAGATCTAGCAATGCACTTTGAGGATATTAGCCATGAGTGAGTTGACCAGAGAGGTATTAAAGAAGACATTCCTTAAAAATGAAATACATAATACAGTAAATATCAAGGGAGCTCATCAACAGGGGATGCAGCTAACAGGCTGGATCACACATCACATTGTATCTTTATTGGCAGCGAAGAAAGAATAGCCAAAGTCTTTTTAATACAAATCCTATCGAAAAATAAGAGTATAAACTGGATTATGGAACAGAAAATCTAACTGGATTTCTTGCTGGAAACCTGAAATCCAGTTTGCAGACTATTGTCCGCTAACTGGATTTCGGGTTGCCAGCAAGAAATACCGTTAGAATTTCTGTTTCATAATCCAGTTTATACTGAATTTTTTCGGTAGGGAAGCCTCCCAATGAGAACTTCTGAGCCAATCATGTCCAATTTCCTTTCCCAGAGTGGGCGAAAGCACCGCATACACAATACTGATTCCCATATCCTATGCCAACACAGAACAAGTGAAGGGCACGCTGTGCTCGGATGTTGTCCAACATTTTTTTTAATGTGGAGAGAAAGGGACCTGATCAGCCAAGAACTGCCCATTTTGCGGGTATCTAAAATCGACAAGCCAAAAAAACATTATCCACACAGTTTGTAATTTGTCTCTAACCCCAAAAAGG